TTGTATAGCAAGAGATCGGGCTGTTAGTAACAGCTGATGAAAATATACATATTTTCACAAAGCCGGCATTATTATCTTGTGTGCCTTAGCCAAGCCATGTGCGGTTTTATATTTTGCATGATTGTTGGTATGCCTTAAATTGTGATGCATGCATGCTGCGGTTCTTTAAATTGTGAAATTATCATGCAAAAAATATGGCAGATATATCCTTTTTTATTTCCTTATATCTTACATAAAAACATATCAACTAAAATTAAAATATGTCTACTTCTCAAACAGAAAGTTTTTCAACTGCACTTGCGATTGCACTACGATAAAATCGCGGCCATATTTGAATAATACATATTAGAATATTTGTACATGAAATACTTGAATTAGTTATAACTTCGTATGGTACGGCTGTCCACTGACAATTTTCCCAATTGTTTTGACCAGTACTACATCGCATATGAATCACTGTGCTAGCCTTTTTGACGTTCGTTTCGTTTCGCAAAAGGGATTACCAACATAACGGATTTCCCCCAAAAAAGCACTGAGCAAGAATTCCAGGATATCTTTGATATGTGTGAATATTACCTAATCTCTGAACTTTGCCACTCCTGGACTGCGTAGCCTGTCTATTAGGACCAGTGTATCAGGATACTTTATAATATAATTGTTCTGCAAAAAAAAAAAAAAACGATCGTTTGCAGCGGCGATACGCCAATCCATCCATTCGCATTTCGCACACATACGCACGGTATGGGACGAGTTGTATCAGCATTTTATAAGAATGCAACTGCTTGGACATTAATTGGAAAACGAAATCCACAATGGCCACAGCTATTTGAGCCGATCGGTGCAAATCTGACGATTTCAAACGGTGATCTAATGGCTGCCACCTGTGTTTTCGATTCCTCAATGCAAAAAACCGTTGTGCATATGGGGTAAAATTTTCATTTACTAAAAACAAAAGTTGAGCAAAATCCTGAAAAATTCGAAATCTCGTATCTTAGCTTTCAAAAAAATTCTCAGTTTCTTCTATTGCCTCTGATGCTAAATATTAGCATAATTAGTTGGATATTATGGTACCAAGATTATTGTGTCTGCCACCAATCGGTGCTTTTTGCAAACCAACAAAGATCACACAGAAACGTAATTCCAACAATACAAAGACTCCTGGACAGTCGGTATGGGAATCCCATGTTAGTGACGTTACTAGGATGCTCCCACACATACCGAGTGCAACTGTGCTTGTTCCTTCGATCCTAAGCTTCATATCTCCAGCCGAGGGCTATTGTTTGTCTGATTTCTGTACGTAAATTTTTCATGAATGCTTGAGTGGTCGTTTATTTTATTGCGATTACCACTTGCTAGTGTGCAAGAAATCGATCGGTTATCATCTAAACGATGAGCATACCTTACCTGTAGGATTTTACTTTTTCGAATGGTCACTTGAAGTAGCCTGATTGTTTATATGGTCATAAATGGCCACCACAAGCATCCTTCGTTCCGCTGCTTTCTTGGTCTGAGCCATCATTCACTCATCTCTTATCACTTACAATGTTTCGCATCCGCACAGCACGAAGCTGGGAAAATAATAACATTTGTAGTAACATGAAAAATTTCACGCAAATTTCTTATTGTTCAGAAAGAGTTAGAATCAAAATTCTTATTAAGCAAAAAGAGTTTGGATTAAACTAAAAAGGAAAATGTCGAAATTTTTTAAATTGCTATGATTTTCAGGAACACAGGAGCAGATGAGATGTGTAATTTCTACATGATGTTTTACTGGGACGCAACAGCACCGGATCCATTTCCGTACGGAGCCGTTTGTGGAATGCAAGAAGAACAGGCTGTTGTCAATAAAGAGTATCCCATTGATGGTGTTACACTGTTACCTCCGCATCCAGATTGGGAACATAAAGCGCATCAAAGTGGAAAACCATTTGGTAAAGTTTGTATTGTCCTTAAATATTTTTCCCTTTTTTACGTGGTTTGCCAGTTTCAGGGCACCAGAGAGTTTTTGTTGTGCATAGCTTGGACGATGATTTTGGCGTGAAGAAGGACGATGCTGATGCTGGCTGTGCCTGTCGGAGACTCTAGGCAAACACATTGAAACGTACACTGAAAATTACAGTAAAATCACGTACTTTTATACTCATCACATCGGGAAGAAAAGATCATGGGGGGAAATCTTGCTGTACTTCGCTTCAGTGTCTTTCTTTCTCTTTCCTGCGCGCCTTCATTTGCGTTCCATACTTCTTCTGTTTTGTGAACTCAGGATGTGAATATTCTGTTAAGCAAAAAATGATGTTGGATAGTGGGACCTTAAATGGTTTACAGATTTTGACATCACTGTCGCGAACGGAGCCTCTTTTGCAAGACATAGGGACCGGGAAACAATCGAATTTTCGTTTTTACTATTTTCGGATTTTTTGAAATATAACTTATTAGCTGTTATACTGCTAGGACCGGTGTTCGATATCGAGCAGTGAAAGCTTTTATATCCGTTTGTGTGCAATCGCACATGAACTGTTATGGAATATAGCTGTTGCAGTGTGTGCTGTATATTTTTTATCACTTTCCCATTTTTCACGGTTGACCGTGACGATCAGAGGTGACGTTTATTTTTGGAGTAACACTGCAGTGCATTTTGGAAGTTTCAGGAGTCACTGAAGGAAGTGTAACAACTTCGATTGGCGGCATTAAATTGGGACAAGTTTC